ATAAAGGCTTATAAATTATTTGTAAGAGTTTTAAATCTTCTAAAATATTTTACTATGCTATAAATGTTAATACATCATTTTGTATTGATTTATAAATCCATTATAAATATTTAAAATGAGTCTTATATATAATTTATAAACTTTTAAAATAATGTTTATAATTTATAAAGCCTTATAAAAACCTAATAATAATTTACAAATGATTTTATAAATATTTAAAAATGATCTATAAACCATTATAAATGATTTAGAAACCATTATAAATAATTTATAAACCTTTATAAATGATTTATAAACTCTTATAAATGATTTATAAGCCTTTATAAAATGTTTTAAGACTTTATAATTGATTTAGAAACCATTATAAATAATTTAGAAACCATTATAAATGATTTAGAAACCATTATAATTGATTTAGAAACCATTATAAATAATTTATAAACCTTTATAAATGATTTATAAGCCTTTAAAATGTTTTAAGACTTTATAATTGATTTAGAAACCATTATAAATAATTTAGAAACCATTATAAATGATTTAGACACCATTATAATTGATTTAGAAACCATTATAAATGATTTAGAAGCCATTATAAATAATTGATTTAGACTTTATAATGATTTAGAAACCATTATAAATGATTTAGAAACCATTATAAATAATTGATTTAGAAACCATTATAAATGATTTAGAAACCATTATATATAAGTTATAAAATGTTTCAAGAATTTTTACAAAACCATTATAAATTTATAACCCTTTCTAAATGGTTATAGATTATTTTAAATGATTTAGGGACCTTTTAATTAGCTTTTATAACCCTTTCTAACTACTTGTTCCATTTTCATCTGTGTTTGCAAATCTTGTGATCGTGTTAATTAATGTGCTTCTTTTGCTGATAAACTACTTTCTTTGTTTCAAGAACCGGAATACAATTTCAGAGTTCCTAGGGAAAACTTCTTCCCTCAGCCTAAGGTACTTTCTTTGTTTCAAGTTTTGGATCTCCAAACTATGCCTATCAAATTACCTATATGTGTATATATAAGTTGGTTTTAATCTTGTGGGCTCTCTACTTGCAGGTTGACGCAGCTGTTGTAACATTCAAACTGAAGCATCCGAGGGACTATCCCGATGTTTCTTCCACCAAAAGTTTCTTCTCTTTGGTTAGCTTAAACTCTCTTCAATATGCTTCTTAGATTTTGTAAGAAGAACAAAAAATAAAATAAAGAGCTGAATCCAATTTTCAAAAAAAAACAGATGAATTCTGCATTTAATGGGAAGAGGAAAATGTACTGGTCCCAGTATTAGCATCAATGGGTTATATACTAAGCCAAGGATGGTGGTCGCTTCTTGTTGCGGTTACAGCCACGGGAATGTTGGAAGCTTACACGGTGCAGCTAGACAATGCTTTTATACCTCTGGTCTTCTACTCTCTCCTCTGCTTGTAGAGTACGTTAAGGCTTTTAGTATTTTTTTTATCTCTTAACTTCATGTACATAACAAAGTAAATGTTAGCTACTAACCACATGTCCTCTTCATCTGGCTATCTCGTTTAATATAATGGTTTCTGAAACTGTTGAGAATAATAGTAGTGTGAGATGTTTAAGTTTAATAAGAAGAGTCACTACAGCAACAAAAGTGCTAGGAAGAAGAAGAATAAGATCATATACATTTACACTACAACATAAGGCAAGAATCCATAACCAAACCAAACTCCTCACTATTTCTTGCCTTCTTCTATAGCATCACTCACAGTTTTCACAGTATCCTCAGGTGTTTCAAAGAAGAAGTTCTTATCACATAGAGTGAACTAGATGTTGGAGCAGCAAGTGGAGTCCCACAGAGGCAACAAACTTGGGAGAGATGACTTTGGAGGAGTTCTTGGTCAGAGCTTGTGTGGTTAGGGAAGAACTATCCGTAGATTCTACATGCTAGTGTGGTTGTTCAGCTTTGCAACTGTGGTCAAGTTTATAAGGATTTAATTAGCTATAAACATTTATAAACGCTTATAAATTATTTGTAAGAGGTTTAAATCATCTAAAATATTTTACTATGCTATAAATGTTTATACATCATTTTGTATTGATTTATAAATCCACTATAAATATTTAAAATGAGTCTTATATATAATTTATAAACTTTTAAAATAATGTTTATAATTTATAAAGCCTTATAAAAAACTAATAATAATTTACAAATGATTTTATAAATATTTATAAATGATCTATAAACAATTATAAATGATTTATAAACCCTTATAAATGATTTATAAACCCTTATAAATGATTTATAAACTCTTATAAAAGATTTATAAGCCTTTATAAAATGTTTTAAGACTTTATAATTGAATTATCTTTAGAATTTTTACAAATCCTTATAAATAATTTTATAAACCCTTATAAGTAATTTTATATATTCTTATAAATGATTTATTGATTATTATAAAAAAGTTTCTATATATTCTTATAATCTGTTTATAAAATAGATTT